GCGGCTATGGTGACGAGCAGATCTACAATGCCAACGTCACTGGCCTTTACTGGAGGCTGCTTCCGGAGCAGGCTGCACCCCCGGGCACAGCGGACCCCGGGACGAGGGTCTGCGGCTGGAGCGCCGACCGGGTGACAGTGCTGCTGGCCGCCAATTTGACAGGCAGCCACAAGTTGAAGCCACTGGTCATCGGGCAGCTGCCAGACCCGCCCAGCCTGCGACACCACAACCAGGACAAGTTCCCGGCCTCCTACCGCTACAGCCCCAATGCTTGGCTCAGCCGCCCGCTGCTACGCGGCTGGTTCTTTGAGGAATTCGTTCCGGGCGTCAAGCGCTACTTGCGTAGAAGCTGTCTGCAGCAGAAGGCGGTGCTGCTGGTGGCCCACCCGCCCTGGCCAAGCTGGGCCACCAGGATGCCCGCCCTGGAAGAAAGCGAGGAGACCCCCAGGCGGTTTGGGCCTGAGCCCTTGGGGCCCCCTGAAGAGCTGCAGACACCAGACGGCGCTGTGCGGGTTCTTTTCCTGTCCAAGGGCAGCAGCAGGGCACACATTCCTGCACCACTGGAGCAGGGTGTGGTGGCTGCCTTCAAGCATCTGTATAAGCGGGAGCTGCTGCGGCTGGCAGTGTCCTGTGCTAGCGGCTCCCCGCTGGACTTTATGCGCAGCTTCATGCTTAAGGACATGCTGTACCTGACTGGCCTCTCCTGGGACCTGGTGCAGGCAGGCAGCATTGAGCGCTGCTGGCTGCTGGGCCTGAGGGCTGCCTTCGAGCCTGGACAGCAGTCAGCCCACCAAGCTGAGGAGGCTGCGGAGCACAGCAGGGCGCTTAGTGACCTCACACATTTGGCTGCTCTGGCCTACAAGCGCCTGGCACCTGAAGAGGTGGCTGAGTGGCTGCACCTGGACGATGATGGGGGCCTCCCTGAGGTCTGCAGAGAGGAAGTGAGCCCTGTCTGGCCCCCTGCATTGGCCCCTCTATCCCCAGCCAGCCTGCCCTCTAGCATGGGGGGTGGAGAAGAGGAGGAGGAGGAGGTCACTGAGCGTGGTGGGGTATTGGTACCCACTGCAGGGGAGGCTGTGTGGGGGCTGGAGACAGCTCTGCGGTGGCTGGAGAGCCAGGACCCCAATGAGGTGGGGCCACTGAGGCTGGTACAGCTGCGCTCACTCATCAGCATGGCTCGGAGGTTGGGGGGCATTGAACCTTCCACAGCAGTTTCAGATGACAGTGTGTGACCACACTGACCCAATGGCCTTTTTCCTGTACTCAGAAGGAGAGGCATGCACAGTCTCACATCTCCCTCTCTCTCTTCTCCCTGAGGTGGCCCACCACATGGGCCCAGGGGTTACTGGGTCCAAGTCCAGTCCAGCTTGGAGGGGGTCCTTTGGTGAAGTGATGTCCTGCTCCATGGTCCACAGTCTTCTGGGGGGATTCCAAGAGAGAAGCCTCAGCTCACGCTCTTCCCTGAGCAGGCATATACGTGGGGTTCCCCCTGAACATGCTGGGCACCCAGTCACAGCATCTGAGAGCAGTTGACTGTGCTCTTGCTCTGGCCCCTGTGGGGCTCACACCTTCCTCTCCCCAGCAGGTTATATGTGCACTGGATGAGGCCTCTGTGCCATCGTTCTGCAGCCCTGGTGCTACTTGGTCCTATCATCTCAGTGGAGAAGTAAACCACTTGTTTGCTTTTTTTTTTTTTTTTTTTAAACACATTGAATCTGAATCTGTTTTTAAAGGTGCTCTTCAGAGGGGACAGTGAGAACAAGGGCAATATGAGATAGTCTCTGGGTTATTTCTGCCCTTGCTCTGGAAACTATAGGCTCCCATCCTCCTGGATCAGAGCCCAGACCCAGTGCCCAGGAGGCCCAAACCAGTTGGTCACAATGAAGTGGTAAGGGGAGGATGGGCTCAGTACTGAGGTTCTGGATGCAGCAGCGAGTGTAGACTTCTGTTCCACTTGGATTCTAAGTCCTTATGATTTATTCTCAGTAGATCTTTTATTCCATGGGTTTGGCAAGTGTTGAGATTTGGTCCCTGATTGATTCCTTCATTGACCCCAGAACACTGTCTAACCCCAGGGCTTGGATCCACATAACCTACCTCGGAACAGGCCTGGCACTGGCCCAGCCATCTGGGGACAATCCACAGTGCCTTAGTGCAACCCCCTTGGGCTCTTTTTGCCCCAGCCCCCCTCCCCAAATTTTTCCACTTCTTGATACTGCCAAGGGTGTGGTAGAGGAGCTGCTTCTGGGTAGCTCAGTTTGAGAGTGTGTAGAAAGGGCCAGGTGACTGTCCATCACTCATGCCATTCTGTTGCTCTGTCCAGTTCTAGATTCAGAAGTCTCCCAATGGCCTAGGACTAAGAGGTGCCCATGCCTTTTGCTGCTTTGGCAGAGATGTTGCCCTGAAGCCTCATGAGGAGTCTGGTGCCAGGGCTGAGGAGGACCACATGTCCTCACCTGATGTCCTAGTAGTCTAAGCCTTGAACACAAAAACAGTTGGTGAGTGCAGGTGCCTGTGCTCAGACATTATGTCCATGGACCAGAAGGGCTGTAACTGACAGTGGAGCAGTGGGAGGAAGTACCTCCCCAGAGCGATTTCCACTTGGGTCTAAGAACAAACAGCTCCTTGGAACTGCCCCAGTCCAAAAAAAAAGAAGAAGAACGTGTGCTTGTGTGACACACACATGTAATATTATACATATCTCAAACCTGAGTGCAAGGGAAGGTATGAGACTCTGGGAGGAAGAGAATCAAAAGTCCACCTGTCTAGGTTTAGGCAGCAGCCTCCACCCATACCTGCTGAAGCTCATCTGGCCACCTCCATGTCCAACCTCCCTGAGTCTGCAGACCTAGAGACTCTTTGGTGGTCAGGGCTGGCTAAGGATCTCCAGCCTAAGTAGTTGGGACTGGGCCCCAGGAGATCTAAAGCATTTATACCAGAGCCTTCCTATCTACCCAGCACCCAGACTAGGAGCTGGTACCCTGCTCCTCTGGCTCTGCCTCCAGGGCTCTGAGGAAAAGTGAACTTTGAACCAGGAGCATGGTGAGGACTGCACACTGGACCTTAGTGTGCATGCAGACTGGGTAGCCTCAAGTAGCAGCCCTCTTGGTGTCTAAGAAACCAGGGGTGAGACCTCTTACTTGTTCACCACCTGTCCCATGCCTCTTGAAAGGACACTCATGGCCTGGGAGGTGGTTCTGGTCTGTCCCTTTGGCACCAGATGACCATTCTATAAACAAGCTAAATGCAGGCCAGCAGGGTTTTAGGGAGCTCCTTAGTGTCTGTCAAGTTGTGGGTTTGTGTACTGACATTTGCTGGTCCATGAAACACCCCGAGAGGGCTCAGAAGGTGTTGCCTTGGGCCGGAGATGTTGCTCAGTGGAAGATATCTGCCTTGCGTACATGAAGCCCAGGGATGGATCCGCAGCACCACAAAAAAAAAGGTGTTTTTGCAAAATGAGATACACTGGTGTTCCTGTGGGCCATGGGCAGTTTCAGGTGGTTGTCGCCTGCTTGTGGAGATAGCTGCTCTGCTCTGATCCCTGGCCCCATGGGCATCCGCAGCTATGGGTCTCAGGGACCCCTGGGGCCTTGCAGTGGTGCACAGATGCTTAGCCCCAACCATAGCTCTACCACTGGCTCACAGCCACCCCATTTCTGGGTTTGGCTCTGTGGTAGGGATACCCCAGGGTTCATGGACCCCTTCAGAGGGCTGCATACCCAGCTGGCCTGTGCCCCACTGCTGTTCACTGTGGGCTTTCTGAGTTTGCCACCTCTGGCTTGAGATAACATGGCAAGTCACTGAGGAGCTTGAAGCTGCAGTTTCTCCTTGGCAGGTGGCAGCCCTTGGGCTATAGTAATGCTGGCAGATAGCAGCTTCTGCTTCAGGGTCATTAGCAAAGTTCCTGGGCTGGGAAGGGAAGGCATTGTGAATAAAAAGGCAAATGCAGGTTGTTGAAGCCATCACCAAACCACTGTTTTGGGGGGAAGGATATGGCTGCAGCAGCCACAGGCGGTCTTCCCCTAGGCCTCTGCACACTTGGGAAGTGACTGCCTGAACATCAGTTGGGCTGTGGATGGAACAGCATGCTCGGAGAGGGAGAGAGGGGGAGCTCCCTAAGCTGGGGACATGGTCCTCCAGGAGCCTGGCAATCTGGCCCTCACTGGGTGTGCCCAAGGGTGACACCTGACCCCAGCAGTGTGTCCTCAAGAAGACCGTAGGCATGTGAGGTTCACGCAGCGTCCAGGGACCTTCCTCTAGCACTCAGCCCACTCACAGCTGCGTGCTCACGGCCACATAGCCCAATGGCACTTGTGTAATAAATATGGAACATGTCAACTTCATGAGCACCTATTTCAGTCTTATTTTTGTAACTCTTGGCCCAATGCCTGAACCTGGAACACCGCACAAATTGGGAGGCATAAAAGTTGAGCAGTAGTGATTGAAGAGGGTACTCTGGTTACAGCCAGTTTCCATCTTGAAAAGCTGTAATTTTAGCCTGGCAGCATAAAACAGAAGAGGATTAGATGGTATGATCACAACCCTGTTCCCCATCAAAGTTTCCCTTCTTGAGTAACTAATGTGTCTTTGTTTTGGGCCATAGCTGGGTCTGGAGCTCCATCACAGCCTGCAAAAGTTCAGGACTGGGCAATGGAGAGGTGATTTCCCTGCCAGGTCTCAGGCAGTGACAGGTGTTGGCTCATACAATAGTGGTTCTCTTGGCAGGTGGCTCTTAGGTGGGCTGCCCAAGGAGTTCCTGCTCAGTGCAGCCTACAGAGTGTCTTGGAACCCCAACATGCCCAGGCTTGGTGTGGCCTGATCAGGGTCAAGATACAGGGCAGTGGGTGATCCTGTGTCTGTACAACCCACATGATAGTGACCTGTAGCTAGAATGGGACCCTCTGCCATCCACACTGCCTACACCTGCTCCTACTCTTGAGGTATGTCTTAAAAAGTTTCAGACACTTGCAACTTGAATTTCTCAGCCTATAATCAAAGAACCAGTTCACCCAGAGCTCTGAGATGTCCTTTATTCCCATTTCACAGATAAGGAAATCAGGCTGGCTCTTCTGACAAGTGAAAGCACCAGGGTCTGACTAAGGGGTCACTGACCGAGAGCAGCCATCTTCTGGCTGGAAAAGGGGTTTGGTGGGATGCCCTGGGCAGCAGTCTCGGGGAGAATGAGTGAGACAGTGTAGAGACAGGAGGCATGGCAGAGAATTACACACAGGGATGGAACATCCTGTCCCTGCTGCCTAAGTGCCACTAGCTCCGCTTCATAATATACCTGCCATCACCCACCTGAGCCAGACATGCAGGTGCTTTTACCCAGGCTCAGGAGGCTAGGAGTGGAAGCAAGGGAGAGTGCAGCATACCCGAGTCTGTGTGGCAAGCCAGGCCCAGGAAAGCAGAGCCAGAGGGATGGGTGGTGCTCAGTGTAAGGATCAGAGCTGCATGCTGCTAGGCCAGACCCTCCCCACTCAGGGACCTCAGAGCCCCAGCCCTCAGTCTCATGGCCTTGCTCCTCTCCTAGTCCTAGCTTTTCTGACTTGTGGTTCATCTTAAGGGACATACTTCAGAGTCGAATCCTGCAGAGGCCAGTGTAATGATGCCATGGCCGCAGGACCTCCAAGACTTCTGACCCAAGAGGCCATCCCAGGGCCTGGCTCCACCTGACTATGTGCCAGGAGCTTAAGGTCCAAAGGAGGGAGGGGACATCTGGCTGGCAGGGGGTGGGTCTCCTCTCCCAGACACTGAGCAGCCTCTCTGCCCACTGCCCACCTGGTACTGCCCAAACACTGAGGTGGACCCAGCAGACACACAGCCTTCCCAACAGCAGCAGGCCAAGCTTACTGGCTTTAAGGAGAGAAGGGTGCACCTTGTGCAGACTCCATGGTCCTGTGCAGGTCCTGGAGCTGGGATGAGAGCACTGGCCAGGCTGCACTGCTGAGAAATCTGAGGAAGGGCCAGCGCTCCAGACCAGTCCCAGCTACTCTTGTTGCCAGCAGCTCTGCTCCTGGCCTCCAACCACCCCAAAATGCAGGCCCCTAAGAAAGAACATCACCCACTATGGTGGGCTCATTAGGGGTAAGGTCACCACTATTATGGGTGGGAGATCCCCATAGGAGGGGTTGCATTTATCTCTGCATTTATCACTTGTGTGGGATGGAAAGAGAGTTGTGGTCCTTAAGGGAAGGGAAGGAGGGAACTGGGTGGGGTGGGTCTGGGCAGCAAGGAGGCCAGTGTGCCACAAAGGGCTGTTCTAGGCACTCAGGAGATTCAGGTGGGCGAGGAGCCATGGCCTCCTCTTGAGCCTGGGACCTATTTCCTGCTGAGCTCTTTTGCCCGGCAGGTGGCAGCTTCCACAGCACTCATAGTAGCCGCTCGCAGTCCACCTTGTTCCAAGGCGTGGAGCCCATAGATGGTGGTGCCAGCTGGTGTAAGCACATCTGTCCGTAGTTGGGCCGGGTGCTGTCCCTCCTGCTGCAGCAGCTTGGCTGTCCCCTGGGAAGAAAGACATTAGGGGCGGTCACTCAAGAGAGGTGGGGTAGCTACATGTTTCCCCAACCTTGGCCTGGGATTGCAGGCCTGCTTCCTCCCTGCCCACTGGAGATGGTACAGGTTAGACCTTTCCAACCTTCCCCTGGGAAGACCCTCACTCACCAGCAGGGTCTGGGCAGCAATGCGGTGAGCCAGAGCACTGGGCATACCCATCTTGATGGCGCCTTCAGCCAGGGCCTCAGAGAATGTGCACACCTATAGCAGCAGCATGGTGGAAGGGTAATGTCAATGCTGACACTGCCCAGACATAGCTCCCGGCCTTGAGAAGGCTCAGAAGCTTCAGGAACAAGGCCTGGAGCATTACCATGCATGCCCAGAGCCAAGATCAGCCCCAAAGGCCACCAAAGCACAAAGTTTGGAGAGGGAGAAGGGCTAACAAGAGGCTTGGAGCCAGCACTTGCAGCCCCAAGGCTGGACTCCTGAGGGCACAGGTATCATGTGAAACTGCGAGGGCCTCTTTTGATTGAGGGCTTAGCTGCTGGGGTATGGGCAACTCAATACTCACAAAGGCTACACCACTGCCACTGAGGCCAGTGTGGATGTCCACATAAGCCTCAGGCACCTCCTCACACTGCCCACAGGCCTCCAGCAGATTTTGCAGGAGCTTGGCCTCCTCGCTCCCAGCATGGTGACCCCGTGCCATCACCATGGCCCCCTCCTGGACTATGCAGGGCAGATTGGGTGAGACTCGTAGCACTCGTGTGTTCAGGGGCAGCAGCTGGTCAGAGAGAGGTCAGAATCAGGCAGCCTGCAGGACCCGGCCCCGACAGGCGATGTCTCAGGCAACTGCAGGCTCCAGTCCCCATGTCCCAGGCAGTGTCAAGAGGCTGTCTGCTACTCCAGTCCGACCAGCACAGCCGAGGCTGTGGTCAAGGCCTCACCCACAAGTGTTGCTCACCTCCTCCAGGGTGCTCAGGGAGACCCCAGCAGCCACAGACACCAAGACATGCTCAGCAGTGACCACAGGAGCCACCTCTTTCAGGACAGCTGGCAGGACTTGGGGCTTGGTGGCAAAGATGACCAGCGAGCAGCTCTGCAGCACTTCCTGGTTAGAGTGAGTGGTCTGGCAACCCAGAGCCTGCAGAGGGACACCAGGACCAGAACCAGGACCAGAGCTGCATGAGCGGGCACTCTACCACACCACAAGCTGCCCTCCATCCCATGAGTCCCCTCAGGCCTCTTTCACTTTAAGAATCTGCATTAGCCCTGCTCTCAATAGCCAAGACCAACCAACTGGCCCCGTTCTTCACAGACCCCCAAGCCTGCACCTTCCTGACCCCTCCATCCCAATGAATACCCATGCCCAGTCCTGCCTACCCCCATAGAGCACGAATGTGTTCAACTTGTATCTGCGCCTCCCTCTACAACCTTGACTTTCCTCTTGGCCTTTGACCTCCCTTTCCCCAGCCACCCAGACAGTCTTAATAAGCTACACTTTCCTGAACCTAATGACTGTCTCAGGAGGACAAGTCATCTGGGCCCTGCTCACCCGGAAGTGGCAGAGGTTCCTGTCTGTTGGTGCACTGGCCAGCACCTGCTTAGCTTCCACTTTGCCTACAGAGAAAGGCAGAGGTGGAGGCCACTGATGAGGAGGAGATAGAATGGCCTGGCAACCCGAAGTCAGGCTATCAAACCCACCTGATTCAACTCGGCAATCACTGTCACCTGCCTGCTGCTGGACACAGGGGCCAGGAGTTTGTCTGGTCCTGTGAGGGACACAGATGCTAGGGGCCCCAGCCTCCAGGGAAGGGATGGCTGCCTGGAGCACTTAGGTTGTTGGCCAAGGGACAGAACCCAGAGGGAGCACCAGGTCTCGGGATGGGGTGGAGGAGTGGGTATGAAGCAGCTAACAGAAGGTTCAGCAGCAGCTGGGCTTCCTTGAAGAAAAGGAGTGTGCTAGGGTGTCCTAGAGGAAGCTAAATGATCCTTTGGTGGAAACTGTCTGCTTTTGTAGGATATAGGGATGAGAAAACTGAGCCAGATTTCTGTAAGGTGGAACAGGAAGACAGAAATGCACACCATGGCCCCTGGATGCAAGTGAACCATCAGGTTTTGCCTGAGACTGTGGTAAACTATTTTCTGATTGATTGTGACCCATCTGGACTTTGAAGTATGGCTGAAGGCAGAGAGCCAAAGGTCACCAGATCCCTATCTGTAACTTACATGCAAAGGTTTCTAAATGCTGTGCAGTATAGGATTAGGGTGGCAGTAATGCCCCTGCTATATACTATTGAGCCCAGCTGGGATGATATCCCTGGCCCAGAAGACATTAGTGTTGTCTAAAGACCAGCTGTCACAACTCAAAGGTAACTAGCATCTAGGGAGAAGAGGCCCAGAAGGCTACATGCCCTTGGATACACAGGTACACAGGAGAAATTATCTGGTCTAAATGTCCACAATGCTGTCCACTATTGGATGTGGAGCCTGCACACAAACAGAAAAAATAATTAGAAGCTCAGGAAGGCCACCCGGACCTAGGCCATGAGTCCAGGAAGCTGGCCATAGATGCCAGGGTAAGTCAACACTGTCCAGGAGAAATATGGTTCAAACCAAATGTGTAACTATAAATTCCCTAGCAGCCACTTAAAGACAATAAGAAACAGGTGAAGTTAATTGTATTCTTTACACCCAAAGTATACAAAGTCACAGCTGTACTAAAAAAAAAAAAGCCTAAGGCATGTTACTTTTCTAACTCTTCCCAAACCAGAATGTTCTTTATTCTGCTCATCCACACGCGATCCAGAGGCTGGTTTCACACATGGCTCATGGCCAGGTCGGGCAGCAGCTCTGGCCGCCCACAGTAGGAAGCCAAGTCTAGAGGAGAGGGTGGGCACCACGCCTAGCACAGCCACAGCTGGTGGAAAGAGAGCTCAGCCAGCCCGGAGATCTTGGGGGCGTGGGGACCGTGGAAGCACCGGGAGCTTGCTGCCCAGGAGCCCTGCAGTTCACAGCACCCACCCGGAAGCGCCCCTCCCACCCAGCCAGGCGACCTGTTCCCACAAAGGACCCCCCAACCAGGGACAGCCACCCCACCTGCTCGGATGAGGCCTTGCGCAATGGCTTCCGCCATGCGGCCCGCGCCCACGAAGCCCACGCGCAGCCCGGCTGGCACCGCCGCAGCCTCCATCGCGTCCAGGGTCACTACTTGCGAGGCTGCGGCGATAGGCCCCGCCCCTCGCTGCTCATTGGCTGCAGGAACTACGGGGCTCCTCATCGCCTTTTGCGGGGAAGTCGGTGGGCGGGGCGTACCAGCACACCGGTCAGTGCTGACAGTAATAGGGAGCTGTGGTGGGTTCTGGACCCAGCTAGGGGCCAGACCTTGTTTTTTACTGACTGCATGTCTGTCCACTGAAAATGCGACGGCCAATGATACTCAACCCTCTGGTGGCTGGAGGTGATCTATCAAAAAAACAGTGCAGCCTCCCCCAACCCCCTACCACGCAACCAGCTGCTGCAAAGGGCTATGAGATGAAGGGCCAGGCCTGGCCCAGCTCTTCTAGAGTCTCAGGGAAGTCCGTGCTACCCAATCACCAGCCCCAGGTTCTCCTCAAAATATCAGACAGCCCGCTGAGCTGTCCAAATCCACACCCTGCATCTTTCCTGAAGGTCCTCAGGGTTCAGATGAGCAGGCCCCAGGGAGCTGCTCACCCAGGCCTTAAAGGGTTAGGCTTAACTGAGATCCAACGGGACTACGGAGACATTCCCTCTCCGCACCTCAGCCCATCAACAGCCTGTTCTGCCTGCTGCTTCCTGCTCCTCAGAATCAGTTCTCAGAGGCTGATGATCCCAAGGGAAGAATGGGCCCCAGGACTGGCCAGTCTGGGAGACAGTCAGTGCTGGGTGTGGGGGATGGCTGAGCACAGAGCTGCCCAAATCAGGTCTGTGGAAACGTACTTTATTGGCTCCCAGACAAAGCACAGCGGGCCCAGAGTGCACTGAGAACAGGGCAGTGGGGGGTGAGGTGCTGGGCCGGGTCTTGATTTCCCTGAGGATGAGCACAAATGAGTCCCGGCTGGACAACTGCCTGGAACCCCTGGCAGAGGCAGTGGGACGTGGCCCGGGTTGCTGAGCAGCGTCCTTGGTTCCTGGCAAGGTCTGAAGGTGGGGGGCGCTGGGCTCTGCCAGCTGAGTGCCTGCTCGTCTGCACAGCTTTACTTCCGGGCCTGCTCATAGTTGTCAGTGAACCAGGCACAGGTCTCCTTTACAGCTGCAGGTGGACAAGTGAGGGCTGGTGAGCAGGTGAGGGCCAAGACCACAGTGACCACAGGACCCAGGGAGGGTACAGGCCCCAGGGACCCAGGGAAGTCACTTCCTCCAAGATGCAGTACCCTGACTCCCAGGTGACCAGGCCTGGTGACCAAATCTGCAGAGCACCCCACCTCCACATCACAGTAGGAAAGCAGAAGCCACAGCAAGGAGCAAAAGGGAGGAGCAGTGGAGGGGGGTCCAAAGCCAGGGGGGTGCCGGGGGATAGGAGGTTGCCAAGGGGAGGGCACTGGAGGGGGAGGGGCTCACCCTGCTTGAAAGGTGTGAACCGGAAGTCAGGTAGGTAGCCCCGAAGCTTGCTGTTGCTGGCTGTCTTCTTAAACTGCCCGTCTGACTTGGTGGTATCATACTAGGCACCTTGGTCAAGGCCACAGCAGAAGGTACACCCCACCTCTTTGCTACTTTAAACCTGCCTTTCCTGGGGAGGGAGCCTGGCCAAGACAGACCCCCCTCCAGCTGCCAGGGCAAGTACCACCTGGCCACAAAATGGTGTTAGGCTGAGTGTCCCACCTGGGCTTCAGTTCCTCTAGAGTGCCCCAAAGGATACGGTGACTTCCCCGTGGAAGCCCATGGCCTCCATCACAGCCTCAGCTGCCTCCTTGATGGAGACCTCATCTTCCTCGCCCACTGTGGGAGCAATGGGCAGTGGCCTATTAGGCTTCCTATCAGCCTCCCATGGGTATTTCTGCCCCCACTTCTCTGCCAGCCCTCAAAGACAAACTGGGTCTTGTCCCACTGTAGGAATGGGGTGTGGGTGCTGTGGGTGCCAACCTGAGAGGATGATGGGCTCCACCTCACTGTACTCCCGTAGGACCCAGATGAAGAGCCGGGCCAAGTCCTGGAGGTCAGGCAGGCAGGTAGGTCAGAGCCCACAGTGACAGTCAGATGAGGGAGCCAGGGGGCCACACTGCTATCTCTGCTCACTGGGGGCACAGCCATGGCTCACCCAGGAGGGTATGGGGTTCCTCCTCCAGGCAGCCCTTTCTCTTGCTGAGCTCACAGCTGGACCAGGGACTCCCAGGCACCCCCAGGCACTGTACCCAGACCCCCTCATGCCACTGCCTCCCCATCAACCCAGCAGGCCAGCCTTATACACACCAGCGAGTAGATGAACTGCCTCCGTGGTTTCCCTGTACCCCACACTGTCAGGGCAGAGCCACTGCCTGCAGATTAGGGGCAAGAGCAATTGTCAGAAGCATTCCAGCTGCCATGAGCTGTCTAGATGGGAGCCCAGGGACCCCTTCAGGCCAGAACCCTGGGAACTCTGGATGGGACATGCTGGGCAGCTGCACTCACTCTTCGCCAGGTGCACCTTGTGGATAAGGCCGGGCAGCACATGGCCATCTTCAATGTTGAAGTTGTCGTGGGGCCCAAAGACGTTGGTGGGGATGACAGCGGTGAATGTGCAGCCATGCTGCTGAAAATAGGCCCTGCAGAGGCCCAGCATCTCCTGCCTCATCCCAGGACACAGACCCCACCCATAGCTGGTCTCTCACAGATGCAAACACAAGACTCAAGAAGGCAGCCACCCAACTAGCCCCACCACCAGAGCTTAAGCCCTCCCCCCACTCCTGGTTAGGCCTAGCCAAGGCAGCATAGGAGGACCTGTTCTGCACGTCAATCATCCTCTTGGCGTAGGAGTACCCAAAATTGCTGTTGTGGGGTGGCCCGTTGTGGATCTATGGGAGCAAAAGATGCACTGAGGCTCCCACTTCCAGGTTCCACCCACAGACCAAGTCCTACCCCACATAGGCCCCCCTCACCATGGTCTCATCAATAGGGTAGGTGGTCTTGTCAGGGAAGATACAGGTGGACAGGCAGGAGACCACCTTGCAGACGCCCACCTCGAAGGCAGAATGCAGGACATTGTCGTTGATGTGCACATTCCTCCTCTGCAGGGTGGAGCAGGGCAGGTCAGGCTGCCCAGGCAGGAACCCAGCCCCTTTCCACTCCTCCAGAGACAGAGGTGGGGACATACTCTGGCCCCTTAGACATAGGCAGTACCTGTGCCTGTTCGTCTAACTCCTCCTGGGACAAGACAAAGCCTCTCAGCACTGACCTTACTGAAGCCACTATCCCTATCATAGCCACATAGGGTCTGGTTCTGTTCTGCCTGCCTACCTGGGGTTGCTGAAGGCAGGGCAGGTCGCAGAAGAAGGGACGGGAGCTGAGGGGCCTAACCTAGCCCTGGGTGGGAAGCTCCCACTACACAGAAGTGGCCCCTCCCCTGCCCACCTCAGGGGAGCTCACACCCAGGTCTCCTTCCCTGTGGCCTACCCTGATCCCCCATGACTCCCAGTTCCCTTTCCTAAATTGACATGAGATGGCCATGGCATTTGGCCTGGCCTCAGAACAGGGAAGAGGCTGGTGGCCAGGCAACTTATGGGGGAGGCTGAGATAGACAAGGAGGGCCATGGGTGACAGTGACCCTGGGTAGAGTCTTGCAGAAGCTTCTGATCCCAGTGCTGGCACAGGCCAGTAAGGCCAAGGCTGCTGCCCAGAGGCAGGAGGCCAACCAGTAGGGGTACAGCCCTTACATTAAACCCCCTATTCCCAGGGCACAGACACCCTTGCACCCCATCAAGCACGGTGGGCCTGGCTCAGGAAGCAGGAACCAGCCTCAAGCCACGTAGAATGACAGCTTCTTTCAAATCCCCCACCCTCTTTGCAGGTTGACTTTTTACTGATCTAAATGCCCCCAGACCCACCTATATGGCCTTCTGCCTGCAGCACGAATGTGTGTCACTGGGAGTCCCTCAGGGGCTGCCCCCATCAGGCTGTGCCAAGCCCCAATCCTCAGGGACTCCACGAGGTAGGAAGAGGAACCTGAGAGTGGGAGACCCGCTAGAAAGTTCTCAGAACCTGGACTCCTGTCTTCCAGTGCTTGCTGTCTGCCCCCAACTTACCCAGAAGTCCAAATTGTATTTGATATTCCGGAACAGGCCCCCTACCATTGCAGCAAGGTGGATGACATGAGTGGGCTGGACCCTCTGGAACAGGGCTTGGGTCTGTGCTGTGTCCCTGGAGGAAGCCGGGTTGTCAGGGGCCCCGTGGAGGGCCCTGTATGGGGGAATGGGGGCTAGTACTAAGTGGGACCATTGCAGAAGGGGCAGCCAAAAGCACAAGTGGTGGAGTTCAGTGGGTAGCTGTGAAGGAATGGCTTGCAGAGAGGAATGGGAGGATGCCTGCCCAGAGCAGCACACCTAGGCCAGGCCAGACACCTGGCAGGGAGGGCCCAGACTGGGGCCAAGCTGGGAGTGGGGGGCAGCAGATGTGACTCCAGGCTCTTCTGTCTGGAGAGGGCATGGGGAGGAGGGGAATGCTTCTGGGATGGTCTCCACTCACGTGAGATCGGCATCTTTGGAGGAGACAAACACCCATTCCTCTCCAGGAAGGCCAGCCCCATCTTCCACCACCTTCTGGATGGCTCTGCCCACCAGTCCAGAGCCCCCTGTCACTAGGATCCGCATGGACCTCTGGGGGTCACCCATGGTGGCTGTACCTGGAGGGCCAAATTGGTGTGAGGCCAAGGCCATCTGGTTCCAATCCTTTCATGCCACATCCCGGGGGGCAACGGTCACAGGGGCAGACCCCGGGAGGGGACACAGGCCACAGGCAGTCAGACAGACCCTGCTGGACTGAATCACACCACCTCCCAGTCCTGGAACCAGAGCAGCTGGAGGCAGAAAACCTTGGCGCTGAGGCTCCAGGAGCAAATCGTGGGGGCTACTCTCAGCCAAAGCCCACAAGCCACAGACAGGCAAGGGGCAGTATGGTGTTGGCAGCCCCGTGTCCACCCACGTCCGGCTGGTCCCTGGAGGCCCTCGCGAGCCAGG